TATATATATTATCATTCGTCGCACAATTTCATGTAAACGCAGTCAAGATACTTACAAAATTATACAAAAACAGTCCGAAAAATATAAAGAATGACATACTATACTCTACATGTATACTGTTATAAAAATAAAATGGTTATACGATAACATGCTAGCAGACTTTGCGATGCGTGGTGTTATCACGTGACTTGAAAAGTCACGTGTATGGCGCACATGATGACACAAGAAGCGTAAATAAAGATACAATGGGGCAAAATTTTGTTTTCTCATATTATGTGCCCTCGGCGTTTAACGTTGTACTGTCTAAGATAAGTATTACCTTAATAAAATAGAATGGGATGACTGATTCTGCAAAATTATATCATAAGAGGGACAATTTTTTCTTTTTTCGATATTTTTAAGTTGTACGAGAAAGAAAGAAAAAAAAAATCAACCCAGATGACATTAAAATAATATGTCAGGGGAGCAAGCGTTGCAAGAAGACTGTCTGCGTCAATTTCAACTTACTGCGATTCCATTATGCGTAGTTACATATTTTAGCAAGGCGAGAAACAATAATACAATTAAGAATAGAAAGAACAGATGTATGAGAATTGATACCGATATTATAACATTTTCTGCGTCAAACGCCTCGTTAAGCTTTCAATCACTCAGGTTTTCGCATTATTGTAATCGATCAATCAAGTTTTCTTGATTTTTTTTTTCGCCATCTTCTTTTATTATTGTTATTCCAATGGTTGATTTTTTTTTTGGACATTGATTTAGCGGTGAGCAAAACTATAAAAAGGGAAAACAATCGAGCGATACTCGATGAAACATTGCAAAATGTTGTACGTCAACCCCTCGAGGATTTTCTTATGTTTACGTTAAACACTCGCAGATGCATTAGATATACACCTTTTTTTTTTTTTTTTTTTTTTTTACCTATTTTACAAAATGTCACTCCTGATTATTTGTTCCTCTATTATTTTTTACCTTCGAATAAAAATAAATTTCTTTGGAAAAAAAATGTACAAAACAACATGAAATGTCCTTGTCACTCATCTCACACGTAGCTCCTAGTGCACTCGATTAAAACGATATCATTATCGTTAGCCATCAGACCAAAATTTATATTGTGTATCGGCAAACTCAGGCATACGCATATATATTATATATGCGTATGCATGAGTTTGTTTGGATTTGCCCTCTCAATAAGTTGCACGGTGGGCTGCGAACGGCACTACCAAGTAAGAGTAAAATTGTCTTTTGGGCAACGACGTCAGAGAGAAGTTATACTTGGCCGAAAGATTGTGCGTTGGCTCACGGACGATTGTAGTCGGTATGTACAAGTGTCTGTATATTCGGAGGCAGTGTGCGGTACACCTCGTAAGGAACAGTTTCTGCAAAGCAAGTAAAAATTAAAAAAAGATTAATGGGTGTGTAAGTTACAACTGTGCCGTTCCATTAATAAACAGTTGAAAGTTATTTGATACTGATTTTACAATTGCATTCTCTTGAAACATTTATATAAACTTAACTCTTGCGATTGGAAAAAAAAAACAAAATCGGTATGTAAAATTTTAATTTTTGGCTCACCTTTACACGAATATCTGAGATTCGACCAGAGGACCATTTGCTGCGAAAATGCAAAGACACCAAGTCTTCCGCCCTTCAGAGTTGAGTCGAAATGATTACCAGAATCGGCAATGAGTCTTTGTCCCTCGTATATCCACAATCTAATCAAACCGATCCTCGGCCTGTGGATCAATCGCCACCTGTATGACGTGTACTGTTTCCAGCCGACCTTACGCGGATCTTTCCACAACAGTTTAACCTAGTATACAATCACATTTAACAAGTCGATCTTTTATCATGCGATAAATTTTACGCTAAAGTAATCTACATTATAGTTATTGTGTGGCTTCGCATAAGTAAATAGGTACATTGGAATTGATCAAAAAGTTGGCGAACCTGTTCGCGAGTGTTGCCCGTGTGCCAGAGGCTGTTGCGCATGATTTCCCCGGGGCCGGTTTTCGAATCGACGAGCTTCAGTTGGATCCCGGTCTCGGCAACAGCTCGAAACGGTTTTGGTTCCCAGTAAGTTTGCAAAACCTTTTTCCACATCACCGTGTAAAATTGCCGGGTGTTTTGGTAAGAGAATACGAAGCCAACGTAGTCATCGTCAATGTCTGTGTTGACGAAGAACGTGCCCTCGAAATCGACCCCGCTGAAGCTATCCAATCCTTGTCGTTCAAACATACAACATACGCGCATCGCGTTATAGATGTGACAATGATGTGCAAATTTTGTAGTTGTATAGTTATTAATGCGTATTTATTTACCCACGGCGATTCCGGGGTCGCTGTTCATCGTCTGGTAGATCTCCGAGCCGTTGTGGTGTATTTCCCAAATGGGATCCTCCTGAGTCTTGCCGTAGGGATCGAGAGCGATGGTGTCGTACTTGCGGAAATCCGTAGCCCAAACTCGGCTGTTGTTTGGGCAAATGTCCACGAGATTGGCCACCTGATCGTTGTCATTGTCGTCGTAACAGGCATCGCCGATACCGTCGTCTGTGAGTCGCGCAAAAGCCAGTAGCAGGTATTAATCATGGATCAAGGGGTTGGGTATAACCGATGGGACAAAACTCACTGTTTGTATCCGCTTGATCGGGATTCGCCACGTAAGGGCAATTGTCACGCTCGTTGGGAACAACGTCGTTGTCCGCGTCGTCGTCGCACTCGTCTCCGATCCCATCGTTGTCCGAGTCCGTCTGGCTGGGATTCGGATCGTTGATGCAGTTGTCGATGTCATCCTGAATCCCGTCTTTGTCTCGATCGGTGTTGTTGTCGCAGACGTCGCCCACCCGATCCCCGTCCTCGTCCGCCTGATCTGGATTCGGGCTTCGCGGGCAATTGTCGCACACGTCGCCAATACCGTCCCGATCGGTATCCAACTGATCCTCGTTCCAAGTCTTGACGCAGTTGTCTTCGTCGTTGGGCACACCTGCCACAATTGCTCGAGTATGATTTTTTTGTTTGTTTTTGTTTTTTTTTCCATTTCCTCCAAGTAGAACTACCAAATTCAAGAATCCACTGCATGTCCCAATGCCATACGATACGTACCATCGTCGTCGATGTCGTCGTCGCAGGCGTCCCCGATACCGTCGCCGTCCGTGTCGTGCTGGTCCCTGTTCTTGACGTACGGACAATTGTCACAGACATCGCCCACATCGTCCGGACCCTCCCGATCGCTATCTGCTTGGTCGCTGTTGGGGACCAGTGGACAATTGTCCGATAGATTGAGCACGTTGTCGTTATCGGCATCGTCGTCGCAGGCATTGCCGAGGCCGTCGGCATCCGCGTCTTCCTGGCCGCTGTTTGGTGTCTTTGGGCAGTTGTCGGCTCGGCAGCGTTGGTCCTGACAATCGAGACTATCGTCCGGGTAGCCGTCGCTGTCCGAGTCGGTGCCACAACTTTGGCCGTCGCCCGCCCAGCCGACGTTGCACTACAATGGTCCACACGACATATGGTTTTTCTCTCTCTTTTTTTTTTTTTTTTTTTTTTTTTCTTTTTTACCTGAATGCATGTCTATAATAGGGTGTTGTGGTCGCTATTGCCGTGTGTCGCGCCAGGATTTCGCGGAGGGCCAAGTTTTGTTCCGTTCGATAGACGCCGAAAATCACTAGCGATTCATTGATTTACTTATACATTGTAAACGCGGTACTTATTGCAGATTAATGATTATTGTGAAAGTTTGATGGTACTTACGATTTGTAGTTAACTCGTGAAAACCAAATGCGGCTTGTGGTACGGGCGACGCCGAGGGGGTCCGAGCAGCCACCATCACCTCCGTAAGGAAAACCTCGACTTTATTTGCCTCAAACCGAAATGCTATTTATTTAATTTTTTTAAATTAATTTATTTGGAATTACAACAAATAAGTAGTTATGAAGAAAAAAAAAAAAAAAAAAAAAAAGAAGAAAAAAAAGTTACAGATAACAGTACGAAAAGTTTTTTAATCTTTTCTACCTACTTGCACATCAAAATTTAATTTGCTCATTCGTGCGTTGAAAGCTCGACTTTTTGCCAGTTTTGTAATCCATCTTGTCGATGAACTGCCAACCTGATCTAAATGCATCGCCATTGTCGTATTTAATAAGTATGGCTCGTAACTCGTTAAAGTCTGGTTTTTAAGTAAAAATTCATGAAAAGTTGATCAAAAAAAGCATTTCGTTGATGGAAAACTATTGAAGTCTTTAGTTGATAAATCCATATGAATTTGTTTGTTTTTTTTATTTTTTTTATTTTTTATTATATGTTGCCAATAACTTTTTGTCTATTCCAAATCTAAATATAGGTATGTTTGCAAATGACTGCTCAGATCCCCTCAGCGTTCAAACTCAAGCTGTGATTACGAATCGTGATTATTTGTAGATCATAAAATTATTACCGATAATGTCGACAACAGCAAGGACAAAAATAGCCACGACGACGACAACAACAACAACAACAACAACAACAACAAAAATAAAAAGAATATCGAGAGAGTATGAGTGATGATTACCCTGCAAGAGTACTGATCGAGAGCGACACAGATGCAGTCTGCATGTTGATCACACCTTGTAATACCATCGGGGCAGACGTCGTGTGTAATTGGGTGGCAGCCTATTGTTTGATTGCCGATGAAACCGGTTTTGCATGCACCGCACCTGGCTGTTCCCTGAGAAAATATTCTTTTACACTTTCCTTCTTTAAAATTTGGACCACATCGGCTCAGCATGTCTCCTCTCGTTACGCTTGTCGATATATTGTATACGTCACTTGGGCACGCGTATACACTAACTTACTCTGTGGAGTCTTGATCGTATCCTCGAACAAGTCGTTCTCGGTATTGAATTTTTTTTTGTTTTTTTGTTTTTTCCCCCATGACCCAGTAGTACTTTAGTATTACGGCTAAATGAGCATTTTTATACAATATATCAGCAAACTTTGCTTACCTTTAAACCTAGTCTTAACAGAGTGAAAATGAGGACAAGTATAGAAAATCACACAACATAGGTACTTGAGTAAATTAATGTTCTCATACAGAGACTTGAAAGACTTAAATCAAAGAGAAAATTTAAATTTTTAAGTACTCACTTCCTTCATTCGATGACGTTCAAGTTTTTTTATGTTTGTCGTACTATGTGCCACGTGGCTATTTACCACGAGCGAATTTCATTTACTTGGATTACGCGAATTATTACTCAGTTTTGCAAGTAAACGAGCGTTGTTTTATTTTTCATGTTATACGTATTACAAATTTTACAACGCAGAACTGTTTCGGGAGCTGATTCATTATAGGTGCAGTACGAGTGCATCATACTTATATATGTATACACTTGTTAATAGAATTAGCTATTTACTAATTAATTTCAAATAGATTCTGCTATAGAGTTGGAAATGGATAGATAGAGAGACAGAAAAATGAAACAAACAGTGTCCACTTATATACTTATACATAATTCGGTTTCGTGTTTATTGTTGAACGTGAGTATGAAGGTAAATAAGATGACGTTTAAAATCGTAAGGAATAAGTAAAACATAAGAGTTTACGTGTATACTTATGTTATAATAGTAGTAAGTAGAGCAATAAATAACAAATATTATATATTAGATTGTAACTCTGGTTAGAAAATTATATTTAATAAAAGATGAATAGAATTACGGTAACTTTGATGCGTTTGATTAGTCTTCCGCATAAATGTGCATAGAATTCGAATGGCCATAAAAATAACGTATAAATATATGCACAAGTGTAGCCTAGCTGAAATTTATGATACAATACTGCCCGTGCAGCGTGCACGCAGGGAAAACTATTTTTTTTCAATGATCAGAATCTGTACACCATGCATATACCATTATAATAGAGTAATAATAAATAATTTATATATGCGTGTGCGCATAGATAAAGTATAGATGTGTGTACGCATTGTAAAAGTAAGAGTCGTGTATAGGTTATGGGTATATGTTACCCGTAGACACGTGTGAGCGTGTAAAGTGTCCGATATTATTGTGCGGCTGAGTAAGTACCTACTTGGGTACTCGTCATCGCGTTAATTTTTATTCTCGTAAGCAATTATAACCCGTGCTCAAGTGCAAGTCACCTCGGAGTTGAAGCAGTCGGAGTTGTCGACGCAGCCACCGTTGTCGTCACCGCACGGATCTATCCTGTGGCAGAACTGGCGATGGGTGCGAGCGTAATCTACACCCCGGCCCTCCGACACGTTGCCGGTCATACCCTCCGGACAAGAGTCGCACCTACACGGCCGAGCAAAAACAAAAGGAGCCAATAAGTAGGTACTACTTAGTATAAGTACTCGGTCGCTTGCAATATAGGAAAACAAATACATTATGTACCTATTAATCTTGAGATGGGTGGGGAGGTGGAGTAAACATGCAACTTACCTGTATCCGGTGTCGAACTTGTAGCAGCGGACGCCCTGCCAGCAGGGCTTGGCGAGGTCGCATTCGTCCTCGCGCATGCAGTTGAGCCCGTTGCCGGTGTACCCGGTGGGACAGCCACCGCAGCGATAGTACGGCGGGACGCTCTGTTGGGTGCAGCCCACGTTGGGGAAGCACGGGCTCGGCTGGCACCCGTTTATCCGCTCGCAGTGCTGCCCGTTGCCCGTGTAGCCGCGCGGACAGGGACCGCACCTTCAATCAAATTGGCACACGTTTCAATATGGGTATACATACCTACACTCTTTTTGCGCGCTTTACTCTTCTCCCGAGCCGATAAATACATCAGGTAAGCAAGTATATGTGTTTTATGTTAAAATCCTTGCCTCCTTTAGGACAAAACATTACTTGTCCACCTCAACCGACGCACTTCGAACAAAAGAGCTTTTGACCCCCTCTTTCAGCCAAAAGTCATAGTTCAATTGATGTTCAATTATTCACAATTTTAATCGAGTTGCACTTACTTATATACATGCTGCGAGTTTTTTTAGGGACAAAACCAACAAGTAATTGTTAACCCAAAAAATGGATGATATTATAAATTATACACCCAATAAAAAATGAGACGCTAATTTATGATGCGACCAACTCACGTGAAGCCAGTGGCGGTGTCCATGCAGTCGACCCCCTCGAAGCAAGGGTTGTCGGTACAGCCGGGGTACCTGCGGCAATTGCGCCCGTCGCCGTAGTAGCCGGTAGGGCAGCGCAGGCACTGAGGCCCCGCGGGTCCATCGCGACACTCTGCCCCCGGGAAACACGGCGAATTGTACCGGCAGCTGCGAGGCGGCGGCGGCGGAGCTGCAAAAACCATCCCTCGTACAACAATCATTGCAAGCATATACGGTTCACGCTCGTACAATACTATACTACGCATAAATAATCTAAACTACGGGCATACCCATGGGTATATTTATACAATTGTATAGGTACAGGCTTGTGCTACGAGTATTCATTTTGTACTTGAGCAAATTTTTACATTCCGATGGTTGGTCAAATTGCCGTTTCGATAGGTACATAGTGAAAAAAAAAAAAAAAAAAATTGCCCTGGTTTCAATAGTCTTTTTCTTAGACAATGGTCACTTACGTGTTGGTTTTTCGTGGCAGGCGGCACAATTTTCCAGCAACTCTCTGATGCGCTTCGTCTCGACCAGCTGCAACAAGTACACGCGTTACGAAAATAAATATACATGTAGTTACTGGTCCGATGCGCAGAACTTACGTTCGAGTCGAGTTTCGTCCACATTTTTTTTATGGCGTCGATGAGGAGGTTCAAGGTCTTGGCCATCATCTCATCGGTGTAGCAGCCTTCATGAAAAACGCCAAATGTCCCTTGATCATCAAAATACTGATGGCTTACTTGAATTATATGTACTACGTACCGTTTGGGTCGACGAGCGCCGGAAATTCGCCGGGAATGTCGCCCCTCCGTCGTACCCTCGTCGAATTGGCAAAACTGTTGAGGTCGTGGTGTTGGTGGTGATCCACGTCGTCCAGAGACGTGGCCCCACAGTTTTCTTTGCGCACCGCCTCTTCGATCTCGGATTCACCGTAAATCCTGACTCTGTACCTCCGCTCCCGAAACTGCGTAAATACAAGAATAATAATAATTTTTTTCTGTTTTTTTTTTTTTTTTTTTTTTTAACTTTGAAATGCAAAAGCTTATATGTAAAAAGAAATCGGCAAAGGTCTTCGATAAACATACTGGAGGCTCTGCCATCGAGTATATGAAATTTTACAGGAAATTGTCCACTGTTTTTTTAGGCTTAATAATGTTATTTTTGATAAACATAGGTACTTTGAAACAATCCACATCCATTCATGACGACGATACCATTTTTCGTACATGACCGTTCCCGGGGGCGTGAGTAACTAATACGTGTTTCGTCGCCCTTTCCAGTCACGTGTATATGAATAAAACGCATTGCAATTTCTGAAAAAATCTTTCCCGCGTATCTTAAATAATGTGCGTGTCGCAGCGAATTCAATGCCCAAGATAAAAAAACATTTTTTAATCGCAAATGCAACGCAGGTGGGCAGTGATTTATACGCGAATCTACATTGAAACTGATTTTCTCGTCGGTAAATATGTACAGCTATAGGCATGAAGCAAGTTGGAAAGTTTTTTTTTTTTTTTTTTTTTAATTTGTTGATCTACCTATTTTCACTAAAATCGTCCACTCTTGCTGTTGTGTTGTCTGTAAATTTTTATTTATCAATGCATACATGTAACCTAATACATGCATATTGATCAAATTAATGTGAATGAATGCGTCTTAATTAAGACGGTCCTATGATTTCAAAATATCCTTTTTCCGCCCTCGGGTGGTTTTGGGAGGCTGGTACTTCCTCGGGCGAAAAAACAGTTTTCCGCCCTCGGGTGGTTTTGGGAGGCTGGTACTTCCTCGGGCGAAAAAGCAGTTTTCCGGAACTCGTTCGAAAAGTCTCCTTTACGAACCTCGTAACGGACCTCGCCTTCGGCTCGGGCCGCAAACCTCTCGGTTCGCAAACAGAGACTTTTCAAACTCGTAGGAAAACTACCATTTTTCCACATGGATCCTTATGATATTACATTTCAATAATTTGTCAACTTTTATAAAATTAAAGAAAAAAAACTCTTTGAATTGCTTTCAAAACCAAAACGTAATTAATTGTAAGATTTTTATTTAAGGGTCTCGTTAGGTAACAAATCAACGTGTAAATTTAAAAAAAGAGGTTTTCTGAAGACACACCGTTTTTCGATTTAAAAATCTCTGGCCTTTCTCAACACAAGCGAAATAAGTAGGTGTAACTTGATTTTTCTTCTAAATTTGAAACAGTTTTGTTATTGAAGAAAGAATAAATTGTGCTCATCACCAATGACTCCTTAATGCAACAGAGTCGATACGTACATTAGTATTAGGTACGAAGCTATTCATTACTTGATTAATAACCACCTGTACTTGTCATCGAGCCAATTTGACATCGGGTAGGTAGGTAATTGCGTAACAAACGAGGACATTATGCATCATTATTTTGTCGTCTACTATACCGTTGTGCATGTACCCACTCACACACACACATATGTACATCAGAGCTCTTTTAACGTATTTCAATACAGATGCGTAATGCGTTTTTGATGGGTCGTTTTACTATACATTATACTACTGGCGTACCTACGTGTCAAATATGTAACTTTGATTATTTAGATGTAGAAATTCGGATCACTCCCAATATTTGCGATTAATGTTGTCGAATAATGAAGTAACATGAGCTTTCGGTACTAAAATTCAAGTAATCTACAGTTGGTCAAATACTGAACACAATATGCGTAACCTCGGTCTTCTATAATACATACACCAGGGGCTCGATAAAAATAGAATTAAATGAATTTCAACATAATAATGCTTGCCCCACACTTTACCGAGTAAAATAATAATTAAATGAAAAAAAGGGGGACATTGGTATAATTACGTAATACGCGCTACGCGGCGAATAGTTTGAGTTAATGTACGCGCATACCCATTAGCCGCGCGTGCAGGTTCGCGAGCGCCGTATTTGGCGATACCCCGTCCCACGGATGGCCGAGCATATAATTTACCTATATACGGTAAAAGAAGAAGCAGCAGTAGCCTATTGGACTATCGAAGCAAAAAATAAAGTAATACTTGTAAATAATAGTCGTGGGATGCCAATGGCCTTGCAATAATAAAGCTGCTCGATGCGATGGCGAAATAGTTGGACGATTCGGAGGTGCGATAAGCGCGACGTAACGAGAGAGCCGCAGAAGAGCGAGTACAGCTTGCCCTTGTCGGGTACAAATTGTTTTACCCATTGCGCGAGCTCACTGTGACTATAGCATTTCATCGTTAGTATATATTGCACTACGGTGACTCGAGTTTACTTTGAACTGACGCGTCGGAAAAAAAAAAAAAAAAAAAAATTGCTACTATTGATAAATGATATAACAAGCTTTGATAACACTTATACCTCTTTAAGTTATAGTTGAAGCGTAAAATTTTAATCATACCCAGGGTGGGTGGCTAATGAGAGTTAGTATATAAGTATTTACATAATAATAACGATCGTTGCAGTAGGAAGGTAATTTCCGGTCTGGCTCGCCCGCGGTAAAATAAGATCAATGCCCAATGATCAAGATTGCTCATTTTAGCTCTTAAGTAGTACTTGAATACATATTTGTCATAGTGGGCCGTTAGACGACGCAATTAATGGTTTTGTACTTGGAGACAATAAAAAAACTGGAGATCACCTGTGAGTGTAGGCGTTGATAATATAATGTTTAATAGTATAATATTTTGTGTGTGTGTAATATAGTCTTACCACTTCGAGGTGCTGCAAGTCGCCGGCACTTAGAGCCATCTGTCTGGGACTCCTCCTGAGGACGAGCTCGCCCTGGCGCGCACAGTCGATGTAGATCTCGACCTTGGCGGCCAGCGGCCGTTGGCTCACCACCAATACTATGCTCCTGAAGGGCTCGGCGATGTCCAAGCTGTCGGCGACCAGGTGCTCCCGGTGTGACTTCTTATCCTCGACTTCTTCCACGATAACTGCAACAGTTGGGATCATCATTGTCGTAGTTGTTGTTCATATTTATCCCACCATTGTGATCCCCTACCTCTCCTGGACCGTCTGTCGATCATGAGAACGAACTTGAATTTTGAATTCGGGTGTTGGGCTGCGAAAAACGTCTCGATGCTGTTTATTGGCTTTTTTCTCGACTTGAAGTGATTCACAGCGATGGCAAACTTGTCGTCCATCAGGGCTTCCTCTAGACTTTTCGTTAGTTCTTTTAACACCCAAACAATAATGAATAATTATATAATCGTCATCAGCATATTTTTAAAACATTGTGTTACTTTGCTATTTCAAGTTCACTACGAGAAAATTTAAAATTTTACGTATTCCATCTCAAATCAAGTACATTTTTATTTGATTAAAGCAGTTGAAGTAACTTTGTCGAATTCAGTGATATATAATTTTAGTTGAAATCGTTTGGTCAGCGTAAAAAACTTCAATTTTTTAGTTGATACATGTATGGTATGAAAGGTGTCTTTTGTTTATTACTATACTGTAGTGTATCTAAGCATCAGTCGTCGCGAGATCTAATAAATAAATAAAAAAAAATAATGATTTTAAATTAACACGTTTAAAGTTTAGTTATGAAATACAATGAGTTTTTTTTTTTTTTTTTTTTTTTTTAATGTGAATACCACGCGCAAAAACGTAAGAATAACCTAATACTTGATTGTAGATTGGGACAATAAAAAAAAGTGCTTGTGAAAATGAAAAAAAAAAAAGAATGGTTCCAGTCGCCAGAATCAAAATGGCTTTGTCTAGTTAAGTGGCTTTCTTCACTTATGCGATGTATATCTATTGAAAATTTTAAGTTTAAAAGCGCGCAAATCCACTTTTTAGGAATTTTGTATGAAACATCGTTACTCATTGGGACCAATGTTTGCATGATCGTTACGTGCTTTTTTTTATAACAATGAGTGCAACAAAGTAGGTACATCGATTTTTTATTGCAATAAAAATTTCTGAATCCGAGTGATTACACCCAAGCGCGCACGTGTTAGGTACATTTGTTATAAAACAACGAAGCAGTATATTATAATATGTTGAACGCCTATGGGTAACAATACAATAGGATCGCACTAAACAAGTATATGTGTATTTATAAGCAGAGCATAGGTAGGTATCCATCCACATGTGTCGAGTTGACTGACCCGGCGTCTCATGTGCTCTCGGCAGATATACTCACACTCGGTTTTTCCTTCTCGAGAGACAAGTCACATTGTAGGACGGGTTTCCGACTCGCAATACGTCAGAATCGAGGAGACCAAGAGTCGACAGGTATAGGTGGTGTATCTATCTACCACTGTGCACAACCACTTTGTACGAAAACCAAGCAAGCTGGCATTATAATGCTTTGCATCAGAGAGCTCGATAAATGCTCCAATAATAACTCCTCCCCCTTTTTAATCTTGTTCTTTTTTTTTTTTTTTTTTTTTTTCAAATGTAGTAAACGCTATACAGATACATGTTACTTTTATAATTAGGTTTTCTTTTTTATTATCATTAATTTGTTTTTTGTTCACAACTACATTTAATAAAAACGCTGACGTGCACTTCGACATGATGATCCATTACGATTTTTCAGGCCATACCTCATTTTATTATGCACACTTTTATCGAGTCATCCGAAGTAAGTAGTTATCGGAACGTCTTGGCACACGCGCGAGTTTCATACAAGTTATGTGATAAGTACGCGCATAACGAATGCATAACTTAATCTTACATATGATACGATCAGGCCACAATCAGGGGCCACAGGAGAAAGACGATCGACAAACTCTTATAGGTACTTACATGATGTTATGGTATTGGGGATCGAAGGAGAAGGCGAACGAGTGACGAGATCTGTTGTCTTTCCGTTTGTCGTTTGAATATATACTATACACGTCTAGGTACATCATAAAACTGTAGTATAAATGTATACGAAGTAACTACTGTAAGTATACTGTTACAGTTGCGCAACGGATGACGAGAGGGGCTAATTGTTTACTGGTAATTTTTCGGTGCTCCTGAAAAAATGTTCGCTCTAGTCGTCGTTTTCGTGGTTTTGAGGTAGACGCGAGCGTAAACTTAGAAGCTCGGAATGAAAGAAATCTTTTTTTTTCGTGCATGGGACGCACGCGCGCTCGAAAGCTTATACATGTGATTATTATATCATTAATGAGGAAAAGAGAGGAAGAGTAGGAGAGAGAGAGAGAGAGAGAGAAAGAAAAAGTTTTTTTGTTGACTTACCCTCGTCGGGCGCGAGGCTCGAGCTAGAAATAGTGACGAGCGCCACGAAGAGCAGGAACGCGGCGACGCCTCGCATCTTGCCGGAAATGTGCTCGGCCGATCTGTACCCAAAATACAGTTCATGGCTCTTTTCGTGAATTATATGCCTAATTAATCACAGCTTGCGCTGCTTCTGCTGTTTTACTATGTATATACATATACACGTGTGTCTGTGTGTGTGTACCTATACCTATATATATATAACTCGGGTGACCACATTCAAAGTAACCCAGAGCATGAACATTTCACGCTCTTACAGCTATACTTAGGTTTTCGCTATATTTACAAATGTTGAGTGGGAAATGAGAAAGACGTACGGAAAATTGCTTTTTCCCTCTGACCGCGTGATACGAAAAAAAAAAAAAAATTTGAAAACAAATCCACAAAGTTGAACGCAACTTGTACTTAATTGTACACGTATTTATGCGTACTAGATAAGCTGGGCTTGGTTACTTACTTTTAACTACATAGTCCATAACAACAGTAAAAAAAAAAAAAAAAGTATTGAAATAAAATAATACTACAGGCTTAACGGCTGATTCATCTCGAGGGAAATCACTAGCGCGAATGTTGAATTGAATTGAATCGAAGACATCCACGTTCCACTCAAGAGAATGATACATGCCAGTTGTACATAATACACTACACTTGTAAGTAAATTCCTTTTGGACACAGCGCGTGTGTAAATTGTAAAAAATGATTAGGTATAGGTACACATAATATATAGGCATGGGCGCACTAGGTGGCGATTGAGGAATGCAGTAACTCGATGTAATTGCGTGTTAATATAAAAGTATAGAACGAGAGAGCAAGCACAACACTTGTGTATACAGAGTTAAAAAAAAAAAACAAGCAATGCCAGTAATCAGGAGCAGCGAATCGATTAGTTTGAAGGATAGTGTTCGAATTTACCCGCGAATGAAAACAAACAATCGCGTGGATCGACGCGCACAGTACTCGCACACCCACCTTCTCGCAGCAGTGAGGGTACCAAGTCTAGGTACTAGGGATATATGTATATATATATATATATCCGGAGTGTGCCTCGGCGAGGACTATCCCGCGACGCCACTACCTAGGTCGTGTACACCCAAGTGGTCTGGAAGCCGGTGGGTCGACCGCGCGCGGTTTTATACGGCGCCCACACGACCACGAGTTTATATATGGAGCTCCCTCTTTCTCGCTCGCGTCCCTGCTCCCGTATATACTTAACTCCTTTTTCCTGTTTTACACTTGCTTTGCGAGACACGAGCGCTGGATGCCCTTTCCTCCTCTCAAACGACCATACACACCTACACATACAATCAACAGGGCTTTACTTTGTGTGTGAGTGCGTGTATATACCTACCACCCCCCCTCGTCGCGGCAATCGCACGTATCGCTCGAGTTTTCACAAAAATACATCGTACGGCCTACCTCGTATGTATACTTAATACTCATATGCTTGGGTATTTATATTTTTGGGGCCAGAGTATATTATAAGGTACTCATAGGCCTCTCTCCTCGTCATGGCCCATCATCATCACCGGCCGCTTTTTCTCCCCATCTCTTGCGGTTGCTTTGGTCGCACACGATTTGCTCATTCGATGTGACGATGCCTAATATGCTTCATAATCCATATATATATATTCCCACTTTGATGCTGCAGGACTAAAGTGCAGAGCCCCTAATGCAGTTGTTCTGCACTCATCGTATACGGTGCGCCAAGGAATAGATTGCCAATCTTTTTTTTTCATCTTTACCTACATCCCGATCTTTAATTGCCACGTTGTTGAACATTACACCACATAGGTGGAATATTATATATTCTAGGAACCTCATCAACTTTTGACTATGATAATTGTTTCAAGGAGCTACACTTGGTCGAGCGAATGGAAATTGCACCCCATAACATTCCCTACTCTCGAGGAAAAAAAAAAATCGGTGAAATCTATTAATATCACTTAACCGGCGGACGGTCTTATACTTGTCGAGCTTGCGCGCTTGCATGAGTGCGTGCGTGTGAAAGAGCGCGAGGAAATCATAAGTGTACACTGAGCCACTTGGCTTTTTTTTTTTTTTTTTTTTTTTTCCATTTGCATAAACAAAGAACTTATGATGCAATAATTTATGTACGATCGCACGTATATGCGCACGGATTACGGAGCAGATTTCCCCGGGGAAAAAAAAAATACGTATAGAGGTATAGAAAGAAAGTGGGAAAGGACGACGATGAGTTCGAGCAGTGGGATTTCTCTCTTTATGTATTTTTTCTGATTTTCATCTCGCGTGCTTACCTTACTGCTATGCCAAAAAAGTACCTACGAGATCACACGGCACAGTCAGTAAGTCCAATATATATACGTTTTCTATGCGTTTACCCTTGGAACTTACCTTTAACTATATACATTGGAGCATGCACTACTTTATAGTTTTTTCCAAAATATTTGACAATTTTAAGGGGCACATCTCAAGATTCATCTCGTATTATTATGTACTAATTTTATTGTACCTACACACGTATACCTACGTAGTCCCGATACTTCTATATATAGTTTTGCGTTGAGTAATCTTTGAGTGTTGTTTATTTTCTTTATTTCCTAAAATAAGTACTTGAACAACTGTACGATGACGCACACGACGCACAATGTATAAGCTCAAAATCATGCACCCTGCAATAACCTACTGTATGTACAGGTACATCAATAAATGTAGCTTTTTCACTATCACGTATACAATATGCTGTTTCCTGAGCTATATGCTGTATACAGAGCTAACAATTTTTTCATATTTCGTGCCAAATAGAAAAAAAAAAAAAGGGGGGGGGGTGAAATAATTGTACCATGGAGGTTTCGTGACTGAATTTCCACACAAGAACAAAAGGAGTGGGGAAAAAAAATTAGAATAATTTCAGGCGCGGCGCGTTCCACGCATCGGTGGTATCGGCCTTGCGCTCGCGAGTAACAGGTCGCGTGGGAAGCCATATCCTTTATAAGGACACCACCATCATCGTCTCTTTTCGCCTCCTTTGCACAGCTTCAACCGTATAATATTCGCGTAACAAGATAATCATATACCTATTAACTGCACTGTGCGGCAAACAAAACGCTTGTTCTTAATCCGGTAATACCTATACTTTACGTGGCTGTGCAATTCGCAGTGTACTATATCGAGGATCAAAGAAAGAAAGGTTTCGGAGATATGTTTACTAGGTATCTATTGTACCAAACAAGACACAATCATTTCTATGAGACGCGACATGTATACGTTGATTTAATAAGCAAGTACTACGTATTATGTGGAAAAAAGCTCACCCAAGCATCAAGAGTACAATTACTCCACCATGTATTTCAATGCATGCGACACTATGGTAATTTTTTTTTTGTTTTTTTTTTCTTACTTGACTGCCGAACAACACGATAAAAATAAGCTTAAGTACACGTCCAAAGAGATGACTTTTACCTACTTTATTTTTTTTTATTTTTTTTTTTTTTCTTCTGTACTTGTATTACATGAACATCACGTTGCTGTTGTTGTTGTTGATGATGAGTTTGTCACTTTTGCTCTGCAACAGTCAAGTTTCAACACAAAAGTATATACTTTCGGCAATTCTTGACTTCTGTTCAGTTGGATGAAAAATCGACAGAGGAGCAATAAATAAATAAAACCAAATATTATAAAAAAACAAAATGTTAGATTTGGTCGATTATAAGCAGCCGTCCTACGTGGGTGTACCCACTTACAGGTATTATTCTATTAAAATGCGTCAAGTCAACGAGCTCACCTTCGTTATGTTTGAGCTCAAAGCAGGAATGGGTCCCCTGCTTGCCTGTGTAGCTTTTGCCGTGCAATCGACGTTCGGTCGAGCGCGGCAGGCGAGCTGCTGGGGGACGAGGACGCGAGCAGGACCAACTCGTAGGCCGAGCTCGTAACGAGTCTCTGCTGGCTCGCCGACTCTTCCTGGACACAATATGACGTTGCCAGTTGGTACAGCTTAACCCACATATATTCTTATTATTATTGTATTACTACGAACACCGCGCCACTCTTCGATTTCTCTCTCTCTTTTTTTTTTTTTTTTTTTTTTTTTCTGTTCCCGCGTTTATTGGATTTAATACCTACTTGTCGTGTCTCGTTTTTTCCTTCTCATCTTATTGATTGCCCCTTTATTCGATCAATTGGTCTCACTCTCGATATTAAACTCATCGTCAATGGTTACGTATATACATATATATATATATATATATATATACAGTTCCGTTTTTACCTAAATACGTAACCTCGAGTTTTGCAATAGTAATACTTATTACTATTTTAGTAACAGTTGGTAATTCCGCTTACGATGTTGTTTATTGTCAGTAGTGTGTTACAAGTTAATCTTTGAAGATGATGATTGGGGTTATATCTGACGCGTTAAACGTAAGCAAGAGTTTCATCAGGAAAGGAGATAATACGGTAAGGTGAAGAAAAAAGGCAAAGTATGTCAGTATATACATGTATGCATGTATATATATATATTATGTACACATAAATAAAACGAGATTCACATTAGCTTATGAGATAATTCATTAACGATACTTGGCACTAGGCGTTAATACAAGCATAACGATCATTCGTTGGTGACTGTATAAATAATAAATTATATGACAACGTTTCGATGCTATTTTTGCCTCCATCGTTATTCACTTAGATAATAATGATAATTTTATTGTAATGTATGCCCGCCGCTCGGGTCACGCGAGACTAGAACAACTCTTATTTTGCTCGAAGGGTCAATTCACGATTTTACCATTGTTTTCATTTAAATGTAGAATATGCATATAAGTACGTATTTACACTAGACGGTAATCGATTCTCTGTTTTTCGTTTTAATGTCAACCCGTCATGAAAGTGATAATATTAAGAGAGAACTTTTTCGTACACCGACTTAAACTAATACTTGAAAATTACAAATTATCGTCCGAGGTATGTAATTATATTCATGTATAGTTTATCATATATCCACAGTATATATAAAAAAAAAATCAAGGGATGAGTATTTATTTGGATACAAAGTCGTTTCCCCAAGTCTGGATCACTTTAGAGTGTGAACGTCCCACTTTCTGGTCACCTATAAAAGACACTTGTTTTATTGTAACTTGACGTGACTGTTCCATCGTGTGAGATTCGTGCATAATGTGATGCTTCACTTATTAAGTACCAAGTTGAAATGCAAAATAATTTTTTTTTCTCTCGGTTTTTTACATCATAATCCTTTTTATATACATTGTTGAAAAAATCTGATTACGTATGTACATGTTTTCTTTTCTTCTTAAAGGTAAAATTACGAAAATGAAACCGAATATGATGTTTCGTGATTGTTTTGATTCAATAAACATTATTTAAGAAAATCGGAAGATAAATTATCTTGAGGTTTTTTTGTTAACTTTGAATCAACATAAACTCGCCATCCTTGTAATAGGTTACCACTTTCCATGTTAATTCCACACCATTTATTTATTTACTTTTTTATGCAAGTATACTTGTAAGCGCAGTAATACAGTATGTTAACGTGATGGCAATTACGTTGTACATTTGACATAAGTGAACCAAGCTTTCTTGACTGCGAGTGTGTGCATTTTTCATTGACATAAAATGTGAAAAAATGAGACGATGATAAAAGTCATCAATAATTGTGACCGCTGGAAGAAAGTTCTGCAGAGTACGGGTGCTGCAGAAAAATCTGCCTGTACACTTGTTTCGCTTTTGCGACATCGTCAAGCGAGAAGCTTAATCGAGAGTGTCACTCGTGTTTCTAAGGTGGGCGCTCGTACCGGTGCCTACAACCAATGCAACAGAAAACCTATTCTTAACTGTACTGTACACGTAACAGCAATTATCGCTGATTTCATCATTTTTTTCCAAATGCTTTTTTATTTTTCGTTCAAACGGTGCGACAATGCTTTAATTACCAATAATTAATTATTAATGACTGTTATTCAAGCGATTAATTCAAAGCGCGAGCCCCTGTAAAGCATCGATGCAGTGATAAAGCAGACTTTCCTGTTATCTTTTTTTGTTTTTGTTTTTGTTTTTTTGTTTTGTTTATCAATTAGGAAAGACGAGTTGGTTACCTTTGAAGAAAATGTGGTGAGAAGTTTCCATGTCAAATGAGTTATGTGCATGTACGTGTGTTTCATATTAATTTTATCGAATCACCAATGTTACCAAGTGTTGCATAAAACATCACAAATTCGAAATAATAAGCTTACGATAGCAAGATAATTAAGTTAGCTCACCTTGTTACCCTTGCGAATGTTGAAGGCTCCGTAGACAACGGGATTCGCGCACGAGTTTGTGCAGGCGAAAAGAAACAGTCCTTTTTGTATGCGTATGTCGACTTTCTTTGCGGAATCTTGATCAATCCAGTACCTGCGAAACACCAATTATCTCATTATCGTTATTACTATTTTCATAACTGAATTATTGTTAGCTTTTCTTTGTCTTTAAGATTATAGATAACATTACCACATGCTCATGACGTAATACGGTGTCCAGCAAATTAAGAAAACCACGACGATGATAACCGTCATTTTCAATGTCCTAGCCCTCGCTCGTCCCAGAAATCCTAGGGACGAACGCCTTATCCTATCTATACGACAATTTTAAAACACAAATAAAAGTAATAATAAATAACTAAATTAAAAAGTAAGAGGTTTTTATATTTTTTTAACTACAAACAAAATCTTTCTATAAAACTAGATGTAATTAAAGATTTAAAAGTTTAAAACAACTAACTATTAAATTACATGCATGTATCGAATCAAAGATTTGATATTTTTGTATCCATTAGTATGCAGTTACGGAGGCTTCAAATATTTTTAGATTCCAGTATTTATACGGTTCGAACATTTTTTTGTACTTATGTTGTATTGATCATTTTTAATTTTAATCAAGTTTTAAAACTTTACGGTGAATTATAATTTTAAATTCCCCCCTCCCCACTAATCGTATTTTTAATTTTTCATTAAAAAAATGAATATTTTTAAAATCGCGCATGAAAAAAGTTGAATGTGCGTCAAAATTTTTGCAATTTACATGTCAGTACTGTATTAGTATCATGAAAAGCCACTATAACGTAATAGGTATCATTGCAGCCTTGATCGAGTCCGTATCATTGTGGCATTAGATAAAAACATCAATGTAAAAATACTGGCACCCATAACAAACAATGATCCGTTGAGGATCCTTACCGACCACTGTCCGAATGCATCGTATAAGATTTTGAGTAGATAATTATGTATATGTATACGTGGCACATGTATAGGTTTGTACGCTTACCAGAGTTAGAGTCCTGAGCCCTTCTGTACATCTCTGCGAGAATGCTGGTGTAAGTGTAAATGATGACAATCAGAGGAACCCAGTACATCATCACCATACCAAATAAAGAGTAAGTGAGCTCGTGAGTAAAACTCGGAAACGAGTTAAATGTGATGCATTGAGTGTACCATGTGTACTTTGGATGGTTCTCCACATGAAAAATTAACGCCTGTCACGGCCATGATTTCAATCATAATTTTTAAAACAATTTTTTTCAATAAATACTTGGAGATACAAGTAAAATAAAACAAAACAAAAGAGAAGATGACCTTTTTTTTATCTAGGAGTTTTACCGACGTATGTTTGGGGTTTAGACTTTTAAGATTTTGTTTTTAGTATATTTTTTCCTATTATCACATAATATAGGTGGCCAACTGTCGCAGTTTTTGAGTTGGAAGGGAAAGGCTAAGTAGCGTATGTCTAGTGACAAAAAAAAAAAAAAAAAACAGTTTAAAGTCAACTGACAAACTTGTATACGTAAAATCCATAGATGCCGTAATAAGAGAACAATTTTTTTTTTTCAACTAAAAGTGAAAGCAAAGATGCAATATAAGATATCTCGACAAGGGCATAAATAAAATATTTCACGTATATACATTGAAGCATCAGTGGCGTTGCTGTGCTCAAGATAACGAGATAGCACCGTCGTGTTGACAGGTATACGCTCGTACACGTACCTGTCATTTTTCAACAACACGCGCTGAATACTCGTTATATGATTTCAAAGTGAATCAAAGATGCCAGTAAGATTAACAATGTCAAAATTGTTCCGATAGGTGGATGTACTTCTAACCAAATTTAACGTATGCAAATGCACCCTTGCAGAAGCGGGAGTTCATTCATCTCAAAAAAACATGGCACTTGCATGAAACAATTTTATTTGCGATTATCTATGGAGGACAAATAGGTAGTTATTTTCTTGACCAATGATCACCGTTTTATGCGCGTGAGGTAACTCTCGCTCGATTATATTCGTCCAAAGTAATTGATACAATAGCCCCTTACAACATTTTGAGCTGATTGTTTCACAATTTCGCATCAAGTCAATGAGAAATACTTTGTGTTTTTTTTTTTTTTCCTGCGATCGAGTCTAGTTGTACTAGGATAGCTCTTTATTTGCAAAATGAAAAATTACCTGAGGAGCCGAACAGAGTGTCGATAGTACCCAAGCACCGGAAATCATGTACCTTCCCCTAGTTTGATCAATGTCGATCATCTGGAGCGGTCTCAGTACCGCGTGATACCTACAAGCGAAAAAGAAAAAAAAAAAAAATAATAATAAAAACATACAGAAACAAACAAATGAAAACTATAGAGCGAGCAAAAAAAATCGTAAAGTAAATTCCTGTAAAGATCACCTGTCAACGCTGATGCAGACCAGAATAAAAGAGGACAAATAGAGGCCAAACATTCGGAAGAAAGCCATTAGTCTGCACATCGTGTCACCGGCCTTCCACTGCACTGTAAAAGCCCAAAATATGTCCAGGGGCATCATGAGAAACGTCACCTGTAAAAAGTATCGTATACATACATACATATATGTAATTTTTTTCAATCGAACGATATTACATACTAGATAATTGACGTATAATTAATTCAAGTATAAACATGTATGAATATATTTTACATGCAGTATCTAGAAATTAAAGAAGCGCCTTTGCTGCGACTATAATGTACAATAGACATGGGAGAAAATTAAGCTGTACACGGCGAATAAATAGCACAGTATATATCTACTATTTATTTTATGCATAAATATACTTAAAGGGGGGGGGGGGAAGGGAATTTCATACGCACGAGTAGGTCAGCAATGGCAAGGTGTATGAGCATCTTGTTGATCCGCGTGCGGGGCCTGTTGTTGTTTCGGCGCAACAGCAGGGTCAGGACGGTGGTGTTGCCGATCGCCGATATCACCATGAGGATGCTGTAAAAGACTATGCTGACGACGTGGCCCTCGTTGAAGCGCATGTCGATCGGCAGGTCCTCGCTGTCCGAGTTCACGGGAATGGGCTCGCAAGTCGTGTCGTTCAGTTGTGCCGAGCCGGACGCGTACGTCAAGTTGAAAATCGGCGGCGACATCCCGCCTAATCGCTGATCCAGTGGCGGCGAACCTGCAGATCATTCGATTCCTTGCACTTTTGCTTTACACGCTACTTTCATTCTCCATGATGTTTTTCGCTATTGACTTTACTTTTTGCTTTCTTATACTATTTGCAAAAATAAAAAGAAAAACCGCTTAATAATGTTCAGCTAAATTCAACTCTCGATCAGGGACACCACCTTCTATAAAAAAAATTGACAAAAATTAAAAGCAACACACTACAGATGTCGAAAATGTGTCGGTATTATTTTTGTTATCTTGTTTGGCCTACGAGTCATTTGATACCGATATCAGTCGAAATAAGAGATTATAAATTTGTTTTGATTTCAGTACTGCTCCACAAGGCTTCCAAGGGTCAGGGCAGTTCTTTTGCACGTGCACTCGAGGTGGGAACAAAATATCATCGAGTAGCGACATAAAACAAATCTGAGTAAGTTGAAAGAATTTCTTACCTGTTTATTAGCGTGCAAAAGTTTCGCAAGCCATTTGGAATTCCATTGATCGAGAAGAACAAGCAAACAAGCTGTCCATCAAAATCTAATTCAATCAGAATCGTTAGAGCCGAACAAGCGCTTTCTCTCATGTAACACTAGTTCTATAATTATTTGATTACTCGAGCCACTTCGTCTCTCGATGTACATAAAATATTCAAGGCAAACGTTTGTTAGTCGTCATGCATACCGAGATACTCGAGTACTGAGTAACGCAACGTAAAAAGATGTGCATCAAGACCAGATTTATTATATGGACTTTGATTTTATTTTTTCGGGAGCCAAGACCTGTTGTTGTGCTGGCATGGTAAGTAAATCAGTATTGCTAATACTCGATTTTATTGAAATACATGATTGACAACTTTATTCGATCGCAAAATTTGCTTATTTCTTCTCTATTTGCAAAACACAGAAAAAAAAACGGTCACTAAAGATTGAAGTGAACAACTGTTAGTAACAACACGTGAAATTGTTAGGAAAAAAAAAAAAAACGAATAAATAAATAAAATAAAATAAGTCGCAGTAACTGCAACAACGGTAAACTTACGCAATTATCGAATGTTCGATGGGCAAATCGACTTCAAGTCACTCGCTAGTACATTCAACCATAAGGGTGCATATATTGCTGAGTAAAAAAAAGTACAAATTCATTTATAGTGGTAGCTAGCAGCAGAGCATCGATAGGTTCACACTCGGACTCGTCAAATAAATAGGTATCGATAATGTTGGTGCTCCACATCTAAAGATAAACAAACAAACAAACAAATAAAGCGGAGAAAGTGTTATTTTGCTCACAGGACCGTTAGGACTACACGGCGGTCATGACTCGCGAGAACAGAGGGTGGCTGCAGTTTACAAGAGACCACCAACCTGGTGGTTCGTTTGTTGGTAAGGTACGCGTGCGCGCGCGAACAGCGGAGATATAATAGAGTACCCTAGATGATTTACAACGGCTTACGACCTATATGTTTTGCATATAACTTATTTTTTTTTTTTCATATTATGTTGCAGTGATCTCATATGAGGTATAAACACTATTATAAACAACTGATTCACTACCAATACCTTAACGTATATGTATATACCTATTGAATAGTATACTATTTATAAATTCCATGACTGCATCGTAATGACTCCGCGGAGTTATTTAATATGTACCTACCTGCCAACCTTCATGATTGAGAGTTAATAATTAAAACGATGAAGATACTTCATATATTATCTGTTTTTATTTACTTTTTATCCCACTTCGTTCTCTTTGCTTGTATGCCCAGCGTGCAATTCTTATAATTGCAAAGGTAACTTTTGCACTGTAACAGCGGATGCCCATATCTATTACTCATCCAGCAACCAAAAATTTATTTGACCCTTTAAATTTTAACAATTTAAAAAATATTTTTTTTATAAATTTAATATTCCCAAATTATTGCTTATTTCCCGATATCTATTTGATATGTATGGAGATACGAACGTTTAAGGATAAGGCCGTTTTTTTACCAAAATTTCCAGATTTTTAGTATTTTCATAAGCTTTCAGTCAACCGTAGTGACATTTTATATTATCTAGCAGGTAAATTTAGTTTTTTAAATAATATATAACATTTACAATGCGTGGCATGGCCTAGTATACTCAACTAAAAAGAAAAATTTTTTTAATTTGTACTGATTCCTAAATATCAATGATTTCGCGATATCTCTTTTATTTCCGCAGATACAAGCTTATTTGAGTTTCGGCCGTTATTTTGACCAAATTTTCCGGATTTCGAGTATAGCCACAGGCCATAAGCCACTCACAAGGATCAATGAAATTATCTAAAGGGTCATTTTTGCTTATAAAATGATTTTTTCATTGAGTAGCATAGCCTTGTATACTCGAATTATTAAAGAGGAAATTCATTTTTATTGATTCCAGATTATCGCTAATTTCACGATATCTCCTTTATTTACGGAGATACAGGCGTTTTGGGTTTCGGCCGTTTTTTTTTTTTTTTTAATATCGACTTTTGACTGAAGTCTGGGCTCCGTACGTGTTTTTAAGGTATGTAGTGCGTGTTACCAACGATGGTAGAATCACCATAATTATTTCTAAGACAATGACGAACGCCAAACAATAAATATTTTCGATCAAAAATTTTTAAAATTTTATGATTCCAAAATGCCGTCCTTTTTGCGATATCTCCATTATTCACGAAGATACGGGCATTTAAAATTTTGGCCTTTTTTTTTTTTTAAGTATCGTCTTTTAAGTAAGTCTGGGCTCCGTACGTGTCTGTAAGATACGTAGTTAGCGTTACCAAAGATGGTAGAGTCACCATAATTATTTCTAAGACAATGACAAACGCCAAACATTAAATATTTTCGATCAAAAATTTTTGAAATTTTTTGATTTCAAAAAACCGTCCTTTTTGCAATATCTTCATTATTTACCGAGATACGGGTATTTAAAGTTTTGACCTCTTTTTCTTATTAAAATTTCGACTTTTGAGTGAAGTTTAGGCCCCGTACGTGTTTGTAAGGGACATAGTACGTGTTACAATCAATGTTAGAGTCCCTAGAATTATATTTAAGACGATGACAAACGCCATTCATTAAATACATTCAATCGAAAATTTTTGAAATTTTATGATTCCGAAATACCGTCCTTTTTGCGATATCTCTATTATTTGCGGAGATACGAGCATTTAAAGTTTTGACCTTTTTGTCTTATTAAAATTTCGACTTTTGAGTAAAGTCTGGGCTACGTACGTGTTCGTAAGGGTCGTAGTGCGTGTTACCAACGATGGTAGAATCACCATAATTATTTCTAAGGCAATGATAAACGCCAAACATTAAATATTCTCGATCAAAAATTTTTGAAATTTTATGATTCCAAAATTCCGTCCTTTTTGCGATATCTCTATTATTTGCGGAGATACGGGCATTTAAAGTTTTGACCTTTTTGTCTTATTAAAATTTCGACTTTTGAGTAAAGTCTGGGCTACGTACGTGTTCGTAAGGGTCGTAGTGCGTGTTACCAACGATGGTAGAATCACCATAATTATTTCTAAGGCAATGATAAACGCCAAACATTAAATATTCTCGATCAAAAATTTTTGAAATTTTATGATTCCAAAATTCCGTCCTTTTTGCGATATCTCTATTATTTGCGGAGATACGGGCATTTAAAGTTTTGACCTTTTTGTCTTATTAAAATTTCGACTTTTGAGTAAAGTCTGGGCTACGTACGTGTTCGTAAGGGTCGTAGTGCGTGTTACCAACGATGGTAGAATCACCATAATTATTTCTAAGGCAATGATAAACGCCAAACATTAAATATTCTCGATCAAAAATTTTTGAAATTTTATGATTCCAAAATTCCGTCCTTTTTGCGATATCTCTATTATTTGCGGAGATACGGGCATTTAAAGTTTTGACCTTTTTGTCTTATTAAAATTTCGACTTTTGAGTAAAGTCTGGGCTACGTACGTGTTCGTAAGGGTCGTAGTGCGTGTTACCAACGATGGTAGAATCACCATAATTATTTCTAAGGCAATGATAAACGCCAAACATTAAATATTCTCGATCAAAAATTTTTGAAATTTTATGATTCCAAAATTCCGTCCTTTTTGCGATATCTCTATTATTTGCGGAGATACGGGCATTTAAAGTTTTGACCTTTTTGTCTTATTAAAATTTCGACTTTTGAGTAAAGTCTGGGCTACGTACGTGTTCGTAAGGGTCGTAGTGCGTGTTACCAACGATGGTAGAATCACCATAATTATTTCTAAGGCAATGATAAACGCCAAACATTAAATATTCTCGATCAAAAATTTTTGAAATTTTATGATTCCAAAATTCCGTCCTTTTTGCGATATCTCTATTATTTGCGGAGATACGGGCATTTAAAGTTTTGACCTTTTTGTCTTATTAAAATTTCGACTTTTGAGTAAAGTCTGGGCTACGTACGTGTTCGTAAGGGTCGTAGTGCGTGTTACCAACGATGGTAGAATCACCATAATTATTTCTAAGGCAATGATAAACGCCAAACATTAAATATTCTCGATCAAAAATTTTTGAAATTTTATGATTCCAAAATACCGTCCTTTTTGCGATATCTCTATTATTTGCGGAGATACGGGCATTTAAAGTTTTGACCTTTTTGTCTTATTAAAATTTCGACTTTTGAGTAAAGTCTGGGCTACGTACGTGTTCGTAAGGGTCGTAGTGCGTGTTACCAACGATGGTAGAGTCACCATAATTATTTCTAAGGCAATGATAAACGCCGTTTATTGAATAAATTCGATCGAAAATTTTAAAAATTTTTTGAATTCAAAATACCGTCCTTTTTGCGATATCTCTATTATTTACGGAGATACAGGCATTTGAAGTTTTGACTTTTTTTTTTTTTTTTTAAAGAAAGACTTTTAAGTGAAGTCTNGTCGTAGTGCGTGTTACCAACGATGGTAGAATCACCATAATTATTTCTAAGGCAATGATAAACGCCAAACATTAAATATTCTCGATCAAAAATTTTTGAAATTTTATGATTCCAAAATACCGTCCTTTTTGCGATATCTCTATTATTTGCGGAGATACGGGCATTTAAAGTTTTGACCTTTTTGTCTTATTAAAATTTCGACTTTTGAGTAAAGTCTGGGCTACGTACGTGTTTGTAAGGGACATAGTACGCGTTACCAACGATGGTAGAATCACCATAATTATTTCTAAGACATTGACAAACGCCAAACATTAAATATTTTCGATCAAAAATTTTTGAAATTTTATGATTCCAAAATTCCGTCCTTTTTGCGATATCTGAATTATTTACGGAGATACGGGCATTTTAAGTTTCGGCCGTTTTTTGACCAAATTTTCCGGATTTCGAGTATAGCCATAGGCCATAAGCCACTCACAAGGATCAATGAAATTATCTAAAGGGTCATTTTTGCTAATAAAATGATTTTTAATTGAGTAGCATAGCCTGGTATACGCGAAATGAAAAAAAAAAAAATTAATTTATATTGATTCCAAATTATGGCTATTTAGGCGATATTTCCTTTATTTACAGAGATACACGCGTTTTAAGTTTCGGCCGTTTTTGTGACCGAATTTTCTGGATTTCGAGTATATCCACAGGCCATAAGCCACTCACAAGGATCAATGAAATTATCTAAAGGGTTAACTTTGCTGATGAAATGATTTTTTAATTGAGTAGCATATCCTTGTATACTCGAAATAAAAAAAATAAAAATTAAATTCAATTGAATTTAAATTATTGCTATTTTTGCGATATCTTCTTTAGATAACGAGATATAGCCATTTTAAGTTTAGGCTTTTTTTTTTAACTAAAATTTCTCGAGTTTGGGTATAGCCGTGGGCCATTAGTTTTTTGCAATTATGAATTAAATTGTCTGATGGGTTATTTTTGCTGATAAAATTAGCAGCTCAGCCTGGTTTACTGGAATTGAAAAAAAAATTTTTATATTTCTCACTGATTCCTAATCATCGCTTATTTAGCCAAATTTTTCTCATTCACGGAGAAACAGCTTCCCTTACAAGACGTTAAATATATACTTTAATCTACATCAGGGTACTTAAAATCATTTATAAATTACGTTGTGGTTTTGCTCTGTCATAACATATGTATATTTTAAATTAAAAAGTTTAATAAAAAACTACCACCCAGTGGTGGTGGAACGTACTTATAGCACTTGAAGGATCTGTTACCTGTGATGCTTAATTTTGTGCTTTTTTTGTGTGTAGCAAGTGGAAAAATATTGGAAACGCTTAAGTGTGTACACGTTGAAAGAGAGATAGAGATAGCAATTAAGGTTCATCGAGAATCCGTCATTCTTAAGTAAGTCTGGAGATTGTATAATGTAAGTTATTCCTATATGTGTATATATACACATGTGATATCTGTACACGAGCATCTGACTGTCCTGAGATAGTCTTGCTTTTTTTATGTTTGCGATTTATAATTTTTTGTATTTTTTACTGATATTTGTTATTATTAAAGAGAGAAGTCAATGCATTACTTGTGCAAACACAGAACTCGAATTACTTGTACCAATGGAAAACTACAAAAATGAGTTGTTGGGGCTACGTCGAGATTTTTCTGTCATACATTAATATTGTTTTTCGTGGCTTTTTTTATAATTATCAGTATATCGGCTGAGTTCCTGTGAGTGGCCGAGAAAAAGAAAGAAAGAAAAAAAGGTAAATTTGATTAAGAGCGTAAGCGTAACGCCTCATACGAGTTTCAATGAAGTTTCGCTGGGTTGAAAACCTAACGATACGATTGTATCATTGTGCCTCAAACTTTGTATTTCTATTGTACAATTGAAGTAACTAGAATGATAATCTGCACACATGTACGTAATGCTGAATTTTTATACAATTTTATCGGTTGCAAGGATTTCATATAGCTGTGTGTCTCGAGAACCAGCAATTTGATCTAGCGTTTGATACGCATGTCCCGAAAATAGTATTGCTCTTTTTTCCTTACAGTTATTCCAAAGCGTTTACGACGTCGCTTTGACATGCTATATTAATGACTATCTCGACCGATTTGCCCGTCAACGGGAAAAAAAAAAAAAAAAAAAAAATCACCGACATGGAAATTATCGTAGCAGATAATAGATAACTTATCGGAACGCTTATTGATGTGTCGAGACTGACGGAAAAAAAAACCAAAAAGAAACCAAAGAAAAAAGGGTATGCGCAGCGAGGCATGTAGGAAAGAAAAAAAAATAAGAGAAAGAATGTCTAGCCTGATCGCCACGCGCGTATTTATCATTAGCGCGTGCTCGGGTCGACGTTATTAAATTGAGAAATACTTATCGGAGCCCTGCATCAGCCCTCGTTAGTGTCAGCCAAACGTATGTGTCATTTTTTCTTTTTTTATTCTCTTCTCTCACTCTTGCTTCCGAAAGCCACCCTGACGTGTAATCTACCGAATGGAATTTTTTTTTAACCAGCCTGCATCGGGTAAAAAGGACTCTTTTATTCATCTCCCCGAACACCTTGTTTTTTTACCCTTCGTGAAAAATTAAATTCAAAAATTAACTACCGGACACATGAGCGTTTCCGAATGCGAAACGAAAATTTAAACGCCAAATCGCCTAAGCGGGAATGAAAAAACTCACCATCGAATACGCGGTACAACAGTTTATCATGGCTCTGTAAAGTGGATGCTTATGACACGTCACATGCAATGCGCGAAGTGAAGGTTCTCGTTTAACATCATAACTGAAGTTAATTATTTTGAGACAGCGATGGAAATAAGAACGAAAGCAATAAATATTATAGGTAAATACTTAATCGATATCCTTGCTCCAACCAATAGGTATAAGTACTCGTTAAGTACAGAAGTGAAAAAAAAAAAAATAATAAAAATAATAACGAAAAACAAACAAACGTTACATTATAGAATTTGTTGTAAAAATTTTACTTTTTTTTTAGTCAAATTAAAAATAGTGGGTTAATTGGTAGTTATACACGGCGCCCACGGGCGATAACGTGGTGTGGTATAAGTATGCATACATATCTGACTTTGAAATGGCTACGGAGCCGAGCCGCAATAACAATGGGGGGGGGGGGGGGGGTTATTGTCATAGTCATTCACAGTGGGTGAAAAAAAGTAACGAGCGAAGCAACAAGTATAATGATCAATGGGAAGTGCAGTTCACACTCGTTCGTACATAGGTATGTCAAATATATATTGTGCAATGAAGTGCCAAAACCATAGAAATCGAAAGGGGGAAATCAAAGAAAAACAAATAAATCATCGAACATCTATTAACTTTGGAGTATGTAGTTGTAGCCTATCGGTCGGTTGGTCGGTCGGCGGCGGCAGCGACAACGACAACAGCAGCAGAATGACAGATAAAAATAAAAATATAAAAACTAGCATATAGTAGTAAGCTACTTAGTAAGCAAGTATAAGTAAGAGAAGAGAAACATTATAATCAGTAGTAGCAGTGGTGTCGAGTAAGCAAACACGTATAATAGTAAACATATAAGTAGTTAGAATCTTTGATGTCCAAATATATTTGATCAAGGGCACTTTTCACTTGACACGCACTTGCAGCACTGCTTGATGCTGTGCAACCGTGTAATAATAAATTTACGGGCAATAGTATGCGCCAAACTAGAACAACTGCACGGTGATCGGCATGTAAGTATACCTAGGCAAGGAAAAATATGAGGATGAAAAGTAACAGTAATTGATGCGGAAGAACAGAGGGTTAAAGAGGAGGAGAGGGAGAAGACCTTCGCGGTCGCGCGACCGACACTTGAGCGTCAAATTTCAAGCAGTCGCGATCGGGCGCGTTGCCGACATCAGCCATGCTTATAGGAGTCATGATTCCTTGTACAATTATTATTATTACCTAATCCCATTTGCTGGCACACTTTTGTTATTGGTAATGAGCTGTATAACCTATGTTTCCATGACGATGATGGTGGTGCAAAAAAAAAAAAAAAAAAAAAAAAAAAACAACTTTGGCTAGTAACTACGCTTCTACCTGATCATTAATTAATCTGATCTCGGAACAACTTGGCACGCAATAGTCAAACTTACCTATGCGAGTCAATTGTACAATGAGTTGGTGGTGCCGAGGCCCGATCGATCATTAGCGCGCCGCACGACGATTAGGGTCCTACTTGTGCGTTTAATTATACGCTTGTTTTTTTGATGATAATTAATTAACCCGTCAAACAAGTCGAGGCTTTGGACTCTCTCACTTACTTGAACTATACACTGATATTATAATATATATACTTGTGCTGTGCGCGACGCTAAGGGAATGACGATCGGAGAGCTATTCTCGATTCGAGTCTCCCGCGCGCCTCCGTGACTCGGTTCAAGGGTCAAGACGAGCTGCTGCTGCTGATAATACACTTTGTATTGACAGCTCGCAACTCTAGAGGTAGATATATAACAAATTATCCTCCAGCGCATCTCTCTCATAACATCTCTTGTTATGTCACGTTGTGTGTGTTACTTATGCATCATGATATTAAATGTAGGTGAAATTAATAGAGGCGATAGTGCAACTTTTGGCAAAGTGGATCCGCAAATTAAATACTTCTCTTGCGGCATTCTTACCCATAAAAACAAGGAAATCGGTACTTAGGTAAATAGTAAGTATATACCCATTACCTGACTGGGAGAAAAAGTATCTCAAATCTGTTGCAAGCATTACATTTGAGGCTTTCTTATATGTATACTTACTTGCTCTAATTTTTTGTTGCATGTGCTTTTACGGGCTGTCGACATTCCAGGTGTATACTTATAAATTATACCATGTTTGTGTACCGTGTGCCGTAAACTTTGTCCAACTTACGACTGAATTTCATATACTTGTGTCTCTTTCGCACGCATATTTTTCCCGACTTTTTACGCTGAGCCGCTGGTCCTGTACTCTCGAGACACATTTCATGATGTCTCTTTAAAATGAAAAAAACGAAGTAATATATCGTAAAAATAGATTAAATACAAATAAATTAATGTAAAAACAATTGAACTTATTTAATCTATAGATGCGGGACAATACCTTCCCAGAACAACGTGACGCAAGCGTGAGAGAGTCGTCACAAAAAGAGCCAAGGAGACAATAGTTACATTAGTAGAAAATAATTGAACGTCCGTCCACACAAACGTGCTACACGTGCATATATATGCGCCTTATCTATGTAAGCTGAGAGCTGTCAGCATCTTCTCCACTTAAACCGTCTGACCTCGGCTCATTGAGTATGTGCGCGTTTAGCTCTCTTATTTTTTTTTTTTTTTTTTTAACAATTAAATTACGATTTCTGGCATTAATTCATATTCATGTTAGGTTTGTACCCGACTCATCTTCAATTCAATTCTGATCGCTCCGTGTGTGTGTGTGTGTTTAAATTTAGTTACAAGGCACCTTTTTACCATTTTTTCCATATTTCAAATAATGGGTATTAAAATACTTGTCATTGCAATTTAATGAAAGTAATACAAAATAATATAATTAATTGTTAATTGAAAAAATTTATATGTTTATTCTTATGAAATATATTTACATATCATCATCAAAATTCGAGACATTTCAATGACAAAAAACAACAGCAAAGTATTTGGCAATATTACTTTTCTCTCTTAACTTGCAGGTTTTACTTTGCCAAATAGGGAACTGTAAAGTTCATTTTTGGCATGATTCGTCCAAGTATCGTTTACCGTAATCGGTGCCATAAAATTTACTAGTTTCTGATGAACGTTGTAACGCAGTCTGCGGCCTTTTGTCGCTTTTGTGTCAATTTTTCGTTTCATCTTGCTTCGCATGTTCTGTAATTGGACCCACTGTTGGCTCAATTTGAGCGGATCTTGAATATCAATTGATTTAAATTCGATAAGCTCTTTTAGAAGCTGATGATAGAAATCGTCATCATCGAATATCTCACTGTCGTACTCTTGCACACGTCGCCCATCGTCGTTCTCCTGGACACATGCAGTTTTACCTACTATATCATATTCTGAGCGCTTCAGCTGCGTCTTCTTTTTCAACTTATCTTTATTGGCTAAGACAAATTCGATTTGTTGAAGAGCAGACTGATTTGAACCTTTGGATACTGCACCTGTTGCTATCCGTACCTTATCATTCCACTTTTGTATGACAGAGTTTCTGTATTCCTTATAAGTTTTGTGATTCTTAGCAATAATCCCCTCAAATCTATGAAATTTTATCTTTTTTTTTGGTGGTTCAGCTTCCACTTCTTCATCTTCTTCTTTATCAGACAATGCTTCATCGTCTGTATCATCACTTTCTGATTCACTCCCTTTTTTACTTTCATTCTCTCCATCTTCAAAGTCAGAAGGAATTTCTTCATCCATGGAATCAATCTCATTGTTAGGCTTTGTTTTTTCAGCTTTGCTCCTCTCATTTTTTGATAGAATACTTTTTGTTTCGGGATACTGATTTAATAGTTTGCTTTGCAAATCCAACAAATTACTCAACAAGTTACTAAGCTTACTACTTAATATTTTATTATCTTTTGTAAATTGATTATTTTTGCTGTATTCACTATAAACATCGTGTTGTGGAAATTTATTGCTATCTACTAAACACTTTTGAAACTTAATTCTCACCTCCAGAAGATTTTCCCAAAGCTGTAACTGTTTTTTAACAGCATTCCCTTTTTCTATTTCTGCCCTAAAATTTGTACCTGTAACGGTGATGATACTATTCTGTTTTTTTCCTCGATCCCTTCTAAGAGGATTGGACAAATCAATACTTTTATCCAAACCATCACAATCAGATTCTTCTTTGTCATAATCATCATCACTGCTTTCGCTGCTACCTCTTTGAGAAGAGGTACTATGTTTTTCATCACTTGGTCCATCGATTTGTTGTTCACCCTCCGAACCATCACTATCAATGGCTTCTTCACTTCTTTCAGACTCACTATTCGATGCAGTTTCATCATTGTCATCTGATATGTTATCGTTTGAGTCATTGGCTTGTTGGCCAACACTGTCTTCAGAATCATCATCCTGATTGAAAATTTTAATTTTAGGAACTTTTTTAGCCGAGTATCTGGAATTAAAAAGCACGTCAAGTTTTAACGGTTGACTTATTTATAAAATCGATGAATAAATACACGTTTACAAGAGAATACAAAAATACAAGTAAAACAACCTCTTTAGCGATAATTTGGACAATAGTTGAGAAAACCTCGAATTTAGGGTAATAGTTACCTTTTGTCGTATTCTTCTAAGAGATTAGAGTTTCGCTTTCGAAGATTGGATTTGTTGAATTCATCTTTAAAATCTTCGACGTCGAATTCGCTTTCACTGTCGTAATCGACAGTCTTGGCCTTTGTTTCATCAGCCTCGTCATCTGATACAAAGGGCTTAGCTGTGTCACATAAAATTTTATCAATTTTTTCAGCCACTGACTTTTTTTTATAAGACATCTTTCACTTGTACACTTTTAAAATTGCATCTAAGCTTTCACGAGCAAGTGGTGAACATCTATCGTGCAATCATGCTCTTTTAATTTTAGCAAACATAACCAAACAAGACGAAAGTGTGATATACATGTATAAATGTATATAGGACATGATCAAGAGCCAATCAGGAGCGGACTACCCCAGGTTTAGCGGGCGATTTAATTAATTCACATTAACGCGATCTAATATGATTTAACTGAGAAAATAGCGAAACATCATTCGATTGGGGATTAAAGTATACAGTGATATTGCATGCTTTTAAAGAATTTAAGTTGAAAGATTTGTCGAATCATTGTAATTGTGAAAAAAAAAAAGATGTCATGGGTGCAAAATTATCATCAAAATTAGTTGAACGTTTGAAAAATTTTAAAAGAATAACTATTGAAGCAACAATTATCTTACTAAAGGTTAAAAGAAACTGCTTGTACCAATAAATTCTCGTTGTCAGTACTTATAACTATATATACTTATGCGCTCTACACGTATTAATTTATCCTTTGCTGGTAAATGTACTTACATACCATCAGCTGCTGTTCATGTTACATATTATACATACGTATGTGTGTATACTTTAGATGTATACATACAACATATTCGGGGGCACCAGTTGCTAGTATCACTTTTTTATTGCATAAGTAGGTGTGTAAATTTACTTACTTACTGCCGGAGCTATGATATGATTTTAAACGCACCGCGTTCAAAGTCGCTTTCATTAAGGAAATTGGCTTCCTGCACAATCGAGGAAATGCCAAATTTGTAATTGTTACCTATAAAAACGACGGAAACAGTGTAAAAGTCATTGGCACCAATGTAAAATGATTTATATTATTATTATTACTATTATCTATTGATTTTAATTTATTAACGATACGTCGTTTTCAATAAACAATCATTTGCTATTTAATTTATTTCTGGTGGGTTTGCAATACACAGCTCCGGCAGCTTTAGCGCCAAAAATGTCGTTACGCTTTCCTCCGCACAGTGGGCAAGAAAAATCGTATGAAATAACAATAAACATACCGTATCTATGATTTCTCGCATTTTGATGTGCTGAAAGAATTTGACGCAAAGACATTCACACACTAATGTCTACTATTTTATCCGCTTACATAGGTATTTCGAATAAAAAGAGAGTATTTTTTTTTTTTTTTTTAAATAATAAGGTACCTACTTACATCATATACGTATAGTTATTTGTATACGTAGATGTTCATAATTTTGTGTATAAATATATGTGTACATTTGAGTTGAGAATGAAGCTTGTAGTTGGTTCGTCTTTCAAAGTAAGTATTGTACAGGTAAATCGTTTTGTTGTTCAGAAGCAATTAGGACGCATTCCATACCCTGTAAAAAATTGAAAAAAAAAAAAAAAAAAAAAAAAAAATGGAATGCTAGCTTGATCTCTCCATCTGCACGCAACACATACTTAATACATACAGAGCCCGAATATTTTCTCACTTGGTCTCGACGCTCCCTGAAAACTCCACTCGTTGTTGGGAATCCCATAATACCTTTATTCCTTGACGTGATGCTTCAACGCTTGCCGTTCCCTGTACTTACATGTATGGGTATATATAGATATGCCGTGCAGTACTTAATATGTTGAAGCTTTCGCGATAAGCGGGAATTCAAAGGAAGGACGGACGGAAGGTAGAAAGAGTTTCGCGGAGGTGCAGAGAGGCTTGTGAGAGGGAAAGAGAATTAAGAAGGAAAGGAAGCCTGACAGGGTCCGTGGAGCGGTGCATGCACGCCAGGGAGAGTAGGGGGCTTAAGTGCAAACACGTGCGATGTATATACGGCCGTGAGCTGGTGAGCAGCCATTACCTTCTCGCGCTTATTTTTTTTATTTTATTTTATTTTTTTTTTCCTCGGCGCAGCAAGAGAGGAGAAGAAGAAAAGGAAAAAAAGAGAGAGAGAGAGAAAAGCCTAAGACGCCTCAGGCAGCATTTTAACAACTTAATTTCTGACGACGATCGCGAGAACCTTCCTGGCTGGGGGAGCAAAAGCAAAAGAGTGGGAGAAAGAAAGAGAGAGGAACCACTCTGCCGAGAAATTGCTCGTGAAGAGCTCTTTTCTTTTTCTTATTTTTTTCCTAACCCCCCTCCCCCCCCCTCCCCTCTTCTCTTGCTTCTCTGATGTTCGCCACCAATACCTTTCCCTTATATATATACCCACATCTGTAAGTCTACACAAGAAAAGGCGAAAGCCATGCCAACACTACTTATTTTGTGTAAATATACATACCTACATGTAGGTATTGCTCGTTCGTTATACTTATAAGTATGTACCATCAATGATCTCTTGCACAGCTTGGGGAACACTCGAGAAAATTGTCAGATTTTCTTTATGCTGTACATTTGTGTTGCGCTGCAGCTGTACCACCTGCATGAGGACATCCACACGAAAAATATCCCGTTCTTGTCCCCCATTTTTTTGAGGCACACCTTTGAGATAATTTACTGTTATATTGTACAATTATAATATATATATATGTGCACTGTACGGCATATTTATCATGATAGAAGGTACTCAGTTCTGGTAGTAAAATATGACAATTTTTGAAAATTCTGTCATCTCCAATTTTCGTCATTTTCTCGATATCTACGTTATTTAAGGAGATAAAGCTATTTAAAGTTTCAAAATTTTTCAAAGTCTAAAATTTCAACTTGAAAGCTATGACTATGGCCTAAATATATTTTTTTTGTAGATAATCTACTGTTATATTGTACAATTATATACAATACCGTGTGTATCGTCCTTCTTTCGATATCTACGTCATTTATGTAAATAATATACAGCCATTTAAAGTTTTTAAACTTCCTTAAGCTCAAAACTTTGACTATAGCGCCATGGTTGATGGTAGGTTTTAATGACTAATTCACTATTTTAGGGTATAATAATTTTGGTAGGAAGTACGCAAAGCTCATGCAGCATGAATATTTATATTTTCGAAATTTCTCTTATCACAAATTTATAAATACATCTGAGCTTTTAACAGAGATAAAATTTCTTAAGATTTTGAATTTTTATGAGAATTTATATAATATTTGATGAGTAAAGCCTGTTGCCCTCACATATGTTTGTTAATCTCTAACTTGCTTTAGTATGTGCATGTCGTACATGCTTAATAAAAGGAAAATTGTAGAGATTGAAAATTTAATCTGCATACAATAAAAATCAGATTTTTTCTAAATTTGGTTATTACAAATTTTTGTCCTTTTTACGATGTCCACCTTATTCACGAAAACATAGCTATTGGAAATTTTGAAATTTATGGTGGAAAAAATTTGATTGAAGAGGCAGACTGTTTGTAGATTTTTCATTATAAATGTTCGGTTATATGTAATACTTTTTTTGCCATAATAAATGTATTGGAAATGCAAGTTTCTAAAGTATTAAATACCACATATTAAATGCCAGGAAAGAATAAATTTTTGTTTATTTTATGTTATTACATATTATCACTAATTTCTTGATATCTGCGTTATTTCCAAAATTGGTTTGGTCATCACAAAATTTTGCGGTTGCACATTCATAAAATAGAGAAAAAAATATGGTAGGACGTTCTTAATGCTAGCTGTTAAATAGAAAAATTGTATGAAATTTTGTACTGGTGAATTATTGTTTTTTTTTATTTGATCTTTATAATATATTGGGAGTTCCGCTTGCTTAAAGATTAAAATTATTCTGATGTAAAAAAAAAAAAAAAAAAAAAAAAAAAACAAATTTGGAGGCCTGCCTATGTGGATTTTATAAATTAAGTAATACATAAATTTATGATAAATGAAATATTAATGCATTAGAAATGTTTTGACAGGAAGTAATTGTTGCAATGGTATTTTGAGTATAAATTTGTAGTATCTTGTGCCTAAGCTATACACGTGTAAATGGTAAATTGTCAATAGAGGGTATCCATAATCACAGTACGGTACAGGATATAGGAGAGCCGAAAAGTAAGTTGCAGCTGCAGAACGCGAAAGATATATGTGTGTGTGTGTGTAAGGTAAGCTGTGAGCGTTTGTTGGAGGGCTTTATAGGTACCATCTCGTTGGCTATTGCCTCGGTGTACGTACGTATGTATGTAGGTACGTTGTAGGTATGTATATGGGCTCGGTTCTCGCGTAATAAAGTTATCGAGAAGAGGAGGCTGGAAGGAGCGGGGAGTGGATGAGAGCCACCGCTGCGGGAGCAAAACCAGTTTAGAGATGTTATGTTTTTTAAGCGAGAGGATGCATGCTTTGAAAAAAGCGAGTCCTCTGACGCGTGAGAGAGGAGGGAAGAGGCGAACGAGAGGAGAAAAAGAATAAAAGACGACACACTGATGCAGAGCAAGCGGTAGAGAGAGAGAGAGAGAGAGAGGCTTTTTTGTCCGTTTCTGTTGCCGTTCTGGGCAGCAGCAGCAGTCATTTCTCTGCTCGGAGTTGGTACCTATATATATATATACGTAGCGCGCTCGCTCGCGGGAGAGCCAAAGGATATAAAAAAAGCAGAGAAAAAAAAATCGTGGCTCGGCGAGGGGCAAGAGGGAGGGAGGGAGGAAAAGAGAAGATATCAAGAGCAATGGTTGGCCATTCCCGGTCTGTGTATGTAACACACGTCTTCATTAGTCCATGCATCGCGCTCTCGCTGTCGCCTCAGTGACGTAGCCACCGAGACATAGTCGCCGCAGCCTATGGCTGCAGCTCCATATAGGTACTCTCCGACACTTCCCCAACAAAATCTTCACTGCAGCTTCGAGTATTTCAACGCCTATACGCGTATCTATTATCCCTAGTACAACACTACTTGTGACATGTACTTGGGAATAATTATATGGGTCGTAGATAATATTATATGGTATGAACAATTTTAATTTTATATGTATATATGTCAGTTGGGCACCGCAAAACCATCTCATCGAAAGATGTTTTTTCTATTTCACAAATTCTGGGGTACATTGTTTAGCCCCGCTGAAAAACCACTTTTTTACTTTTCTCCGATGATACCCGGAAATAACGCAACATGGGTATGTTCCATTGTACGTACTGTTTACTCGAAGTGAAAATTGCATTGTACCAAAAGTAATCATCAAGTATACAATGAAGTTTAGGATTGGTGGAAAATCTGTTTTCTTATCATTTTTTTTTACTAAATCAGTCATAGCTTGACAAAAACAATCTGAGTTGCATCAAAATGAAATGGAAAAAAAAATAAATAAAATGAAATGCTTGATGGTAAAATACATCTTCTCCCTTTTCTGATGTATACTCTAAGACATGAAAAATATCGCCATTCAAGACTAATTTTAAAATTTATTTTTTACATTTTTACTGTACTCATACTTTTTTCATACTTGTAATATAAAATTATCATGTTTATATAGAAATGTTGATTCCGATTTTTTTTTTTTTTTTTTTTTTTTTTTTTTTTTTTTTTTTTTTT